TCAAAGGTTAAGAACAGAAATCTAGAGCTGGAAGGAGCTGGAGAGGTCATGAAGTCCAACCCCTTATTTTACAGAAAGGGGAAACTGAGGCTTAGAAAACTTGATGGGATCCAACTTCTAGAGCTGCAAGACAATCTAGTCTAACTCTCTCATTTTACATATGGAGAAACTGAGACCCATGACGGTCAAGTGATTTGTCCAAAGCAAGCTATATGATTTACCCACTAATAAGTGGCAAAGCTGGCATCTGAACCCAGGTCTTCTGATTCCAAATCCATGTGTGATCTTGGGTGAATCACTTCCATTCTCTGGAGGATTTTTGAGCTGGAAGGGACTTCAGAAGCTGGAAGGGACTTTCAGATGGGAAAACTGAGGTCTAGGGAGGTCATGTGACTTAGTCACAAAGGTAGCCAGAGATGGGATTTGAACCCAGGGCTTCTGCTATCTCCCTTTCCATTGTTCTACACTGCCAGATGCCACTACTTTCTCCTCCCTTCCCTCCCTGTTGCCCCAATTAACCCAGATGTTTGTTGTTATTCAGTTGTATCAGTCATGTCCAACTCTCTGTGACCCCATTTGGGGTTTTCTGGGCAGAGATACTGGAGTGGTTTGCCATTTCCTTCTCCAGCCCATTTTACAGATGAGGAAACTGAGGCAAACAGGGTGAAGTGACTTGCCCAGGGTCACATAGCTAGGAAGTATCTTAGGTCAGATTTGAACACATGAAGAACCCAGCCCAGCATTCTGTGCAATATGGCACCACCTAACTGCCCGGATGTTAGAAAGATAAGAAATAGATCATAGAGTCAGAATGAGTTGGAAAGGGGTTCCAGAGGGTTCGACTAGAGATCTTTTAATCAAATGACTTCATTTTACAGATGAGGCAACCAACTCTAGAAATATTCTTTCACCATATTCTTACATCACACATGGATTCCAGACGCCTCTGTAAGGAACTAGTTAGTTATGAAGAAATGCTGCAGCAGAGTTTGAGTTTTGGGGGAGCGCTTCATGAGTGTGGGAAGTAGTGGAGATCTGGAGTGGGGATTCAGCAGAGTGCAAAGAAGCCACATTTCCACTTCCCCACTTGACCTCCTAGGAGACTGCATCCTGAAATCAGTCAGTCAATCAGAAAACATCTATTAAGTGCCTACTATGTGCCAGGCACTGTACTATGTGCTGGGGATATAAAAAGAGGCAAGAGACAGTCCCTGCCCTCAAGAAGCTGGAAATTAAATGGGGGAGGCAGCATCAAAGAAATATATACAAATATATAGAGACATATACAGATATATACAAAGCTAGTCATAGACAAAGGCAGCTCAAATCTCACTTAACCCTATTTGCCTCAGTTTCCTCATCTGTAAAATGAGCTGGCGAAGGAAATGGCAAACCACTCCAGTGTCTTTGTCAAGAAAACCTCAAATTTAGCCACAACTGAACAACAACAAAAAGTCATATGCAGGATAAAAAGAAATGATGAACAGAAAGAAGGCACTGGACTTGAAAAAAGAGGCAGAGAGTGATGACTTGCCCACAGGTAGGAACTTTGCCTCCCCAGAACTTCTCTGTGGGTCTCCTCCATCCAATTAAGATTTGCCTTAATGTATCAAGTGGATTTCCAGAAACACAACCAGCCCTTCCATCTAGTGGAAGACCCAACAGAGCTCAGCCCAGCTCCTTTCCCCTGCTCAGAACCTGAGTCGGTAACAAGTAAGTTTAGCCAAAATAAGGCGCGTAGGAGGAACCCCTGGCTGTACAACAGCCTTTAAGGTGTTCCTCCGAGTGAGGAAGGATGTGTGGCAATTCCTACTCTGTTGGCTGGATTAAGAGACAGCCCCAAGAGACCCAGGAAAGCAGGAGATTTCCCATTTCTACCACTTAGTAGCTATTTCAAAGTGTCAGGGATCTAGAGACGGCTAGGTGGAGTAGTACAGAGAGCACCAGAGTCAGCCTTCAACTTGTAGTGACCTTGGACCACTCAACCGCTGTCTGCCTCAGTTTCCTTATCTGTAAAATGGGGATCATCATAGCACCTACCTCCCGGATCGAATGTGAAGGACTCAATGAGATAATAAGTGTCAGCTATCACTATTATAAGAGCTGGAAGGAACCAGAGAAACCATCCAGTCCAGCCCCTCTATTTCACAGATGAGGAAACTGAGGCCACAGGAAGTTAAGTGACTTGCCCAAGGTCTCCTAGGTAAGTGTCAGAAATGGGATTTAAACCCAGGTCCCCTGACACCAAAGCTTCTGTATTCTTTCTGTTTTACTATGCCGTCCTCACTAGCACTCAGTTGCTCCAATTACATAATGGAATCAGTAGTGCTTTACCTTCCTGGAGGCGGAAGCCCAAACCACGTGACCTCTTGAGGTTTCTTCCAGCCTTAAAATGGAATGATTTTACTTGAAAGTTCTGGCACAGTGGGATAAGCCATGGAGTAGGTCAGAGTACCTGAGTTCAAATCCCAGTCTGACACTTACCTAGGAGACCTTGGGCAAGTCACTTAACTTCCAGGGGCCTCAGTTTCACTCCTCTGTAAAATCAATCACTAAGCATTCATTAAGTGCCTGTTTTGTTCCAGGCACTGTGCAAGGCACAGGGCAGAGGTAAAAATAAAACAGAGTAATTTATGCAGACTCTTCTGTTTGGTATTCAAAGACGTTCATGACCTGGTACCAGTCTTCCCTTCCAGCTATACAGTCTTCACACACTCCACTTTTCAGCCTTTTTGCTGTTCCTCAAACATGACATTCCTATTTCCCACCTCCACGCCTTTGATTGAGCTGTGTACCTTTTAGGAGGTAGTGGCCTTCCAGTCCCTAGAGATCTTCAAGCAAAGACGCTTGGCTGTCAGTCTGTGGCAGGGATTCCCCTGGCCCGGATTAGACTAGAGGGCCTGCTTTGTTTAGCTTGGCCTTGGAGGGCAGATCTGGAATCAGTAGCTAAAAAAGTAGATTTAATGGTAAAGATGCAGATTTAAGCTCAATATCAGGAAAAATAACCACCCAAATTTCCTAACAATGAGAGCTGCTCCATGTGGCATGGGTCGCCTTGAAAGGGAGTGGACTCCCCTCTTCTGGAGGCTGGGGAACCACCAGCCAGGGATACTGTAGCCAGAATTCCTGCTCAGGTCCAGTGTGGCTCAGATGGTCAAGGAGACCCTGTGGTTCTCTGTGCCAGGCCCCACACTTCTCAATAAACTATCCCAAAGAGTGTAAACACTTGACTAACGCTGAGTCTCCATAGACTTTTTTTTTTTGTTATTACTAGCAGGCTGAAAGCTTAGTTAAGGAGATTACTGTCACTTCAAAATCCAGAGCAATATAAACACAGGTGATGGTACTCGAGGAGACTTATTGAACTGAATTGTTTAAAAACCCCCTCCACTCTGGGGGAGTATTTGTGTATCTGTGTGGGTTGCACATCTGTTGAATGCACACTACTCTCTCCATATATGAGCTTGATTGAAGAGTGGATAGAAGTATGTTTAGACGAGATAAGGAAGATGTGAGTGGCCCCTGGACAATATGCTTTGACTTGCTTCTCCCAGAGTGGGCAATGATTTGTGTTAATGCAAGCTCTCTTGCGGATTAAGTAAAACCTCTTACAGCTGGTAGCTTGTGTTTTCGAGGAGCCAGAGGGGGGTTTGAGGGTCAGACTGTGGCATGGAGCAGGGCTCAGTCTATGTTTGGGATCAGAGCTCAGTGTGTGACCAGGTTAGGCCTCAATCTGTGACTAGGGTCAATTAGGGATCAGTCTCTGGTAAGGATCCGGGCGAATAGCTTGTGACCAGGGTCGGGGCCCAGCCTGTGGCTGGGTCTGGGAATCAGTCTTTGACTGGAACAGGGTATGAGCCTTTGATTTCAGGTACAGAGGCAGCTTGTTGGCCCTGTGGAAGACCTGAGTTCAAATCCAGCCTCAGAGACTTACCGGCTTGTGATCTTGGGCAAGTTACTTAACTTCTGTTTGCCTCAGTTTCCTCAACTGTAAAATGGAAATAATAATAACACCTACCTCCCAAGGTTGTCATAAAGATAAAACGAGATAATATTTATAATGCACTTGGCATATAGTAGGTGCTATATAGATGTTATCATTATTATTGTTATTAGAAACTCCCTCTATTACTGTAGGTTGGCACCTTCTTGGCCAAGTACAGTTTTAGAACCTGGTTGAGGGGGTAAATGACCTGTTCAGAGTCACATCTTTCAGAATCATAATTTGAACTCGGGTCTTAGGGCTTTGCCTGTAGTCAGGATTAAGACTTGAATCCAATATTAGGACTCAGACTCTGGCTGGTTTTAGGTCTATGACTGAAATTATGCCTCAGTCTGTGATCAGGGTTAGGGCTCCACTCATGTCAGATTAAGGGTTAGCTCCTAACTAATCCTTAGTAATAGGGACAGTGAGGTGGCATGTGGATAGAATGGTAGGCCAGTAGTCAGAAAGACCTGAGTTCGTATCTAGCCTCAGACGCTTACTAGCTTTGCGACCCTGGGCAAGTCACTTAACCCTGTTTGTCTCAGTTTCCTCATTTGTAGAATGAGCTGGAGAAGGAAATGGCAAATCACTCCAGTGTCTTTGTCAAGAAAACCTCAAATGGGGTCATGAGGTAGGCAAGACTGAAACGTCTGAATAGCAACAATCCTTAGTAAAGTGTAAACTGTTAACTAAAGTGTTAGTTGGTGATGAACCCTCAGTTAGCTCTTATTGATTAATATATGTCAGAGGTGGGATTTGAACACACGTTTTCCTCACTGCAAGGACAGTTTTCCATCTACTAGACTATAACACCTTTCATGGTGCCTTCATATTAACAGCTAATGGCATGACCTCTCCCAAAGTCATTTAAAATGAGCAAAAGAAGAAGACTTACAAAAGTGAATGAAGAATGGGAGGTGATGGGATTGTGGGATTGGGCCCCGTGTATTTAGCACCATCCTTGCTTAAGGCACCATTAGCCTTTGACCAACTAGGATTTCGCATTACATCCCAGGTGTGATACAACCTCTCAACAGTTCAAGGAGTGTTTACCCAAAGCTTTCTTCAGGGGAGGCACCGTGCTAGGCCTTGGCCCTCGGCAAACCCAGGCAGAGTTGGTGGGGGAGGCCAGGGTGTTGGTGGTGGAGGTGGTGACTTTCCGAGGCAGCCAGCACTTCTTTGGCCCCTTGTCCAGAAGATCTGGGTAAGTTTCCATGGGAGTGGGTGTGGGAGCAGAGAGAAAACATTCTCACAAACCGACGAGCTAAATCTATCTGGAGGCCAGTGGCCAGTACATGTTAGTGAAAACAGCTGCCCACGGGGGGACTTTGATGTGACGCATCTGACAGGCTTCTCTTTCACGGCAAAATCCTTTCTGGCAGGTTGGGCTTGTCAGTGGGTTAATTAGGACCGTGACCCCCTCAGGACATTGTTCTCCTGCTCCTCCCAGGTGGAAGTCCTTCCTCTCCAATTCTCTCGTCCAGTGACTTAAGTCATGAAAGGAACTTTCAGAGGACTGGGGAGTGTCCACTGAAGTTCTCCTGGACCCAGAGCTGGACCCCAGGTTTTTCGTCCAGCAGCCTGGGACCGCCTTCTTGTATAGAATCAAGGAAGGGGCTGAGGAGGAGGAGGAGGACAGTCCCAGCATCCCTCAGCCTTCTTGGATCCCCTCTCATTGCCTGGCTCAGCGTGGCCTGGCAACCAGGGATGGCATAAAGAACAGTCAGGGCTCTCATGGGTGGGCTTGGTGCTGAGTGACAACCAAGTCAGCCAGTAACATTAATGGGAAGAAAGAGGGCGTGGTCTTCTCCTTGACTTTATGGATGCCATCACCGGTTTTGGAGGGCAAAGGTCCTGGCTAGGCCTCTGCTTTCCTCTTGTTGTCAGTGTTGCTCCTGGTGAGTGGCAAGGCTTAGGGCCGGGGTGGGGAACCTGTGGCCTTGAGGCCACGTGCGGCCCTCTAGGTCCTCAGGTGCGGCCCTTCAACTGAATCCAAACATCACAGAGCATTGTTCTGTATTAGAAAGGAACAGAATGTGAGGGAAGAACCGAATTAGGAATCCTCTCTATAACTTGCCTAGCAAATGGCCGTCTAGACTTTCCCAGACCTCTGGGGAAGGCAGATAGATTCTCTCCAGAGGCATCCAATTCCAGGCTTAGATAAACCTGGTAGTTGAAAAATTTGTTTCTTACATCCAGCCCAAATCTCCCTAGAGGTCAATAATAAAAAGTCGAATCCATCTTCAGTGGGACAGCCTTTCAAATACATGAAGATAGCTATCACAGTCTGGGCAGCTGGGCATGGGGTGCCATATTGCGTAGAGTTGTGGGCATGGAGTCGGGAAGACTCCCCCTTCCTGAGTTCAAATCTGGCCTCAGACACTTGCTAGCTATGTGACCCTGGGCAAGTCACTTCACCCTGTTTACCTCAGTTTCCTCATCTGTAAAATGAGCTTGAGAAGGAAATGGCAAACTACTCTGGTGTCTCTGCCAAGAAAACCCCCAAACTGGGTCACAGTTGAAATGACTACATGATTAAACAACATTACGCTCTGGGCCACACACCCCTCTCCTCCCCCAGGCTTCTCTACGCTAACCCTTCTCAGTTCCTTCAGCCAATCTTCATTTGCCATGACCTTGAGGTTCATTAAACAGCCATGTTTAGTCAAAGAAGAGAATGTATGGGAGGGGACACAATGGCTGTCTTCAAGATGTTGTGTGCAGGAAGGATTAGTCTTTTTCTGCTTGGCCCCAGGGGGCAGAAACAGGAACAGTGGAGGGAAGTCTCAGAGAGACAACTCAAGGCTGGATGTCAGGAAGCACTTCCTGATGATCGAGCTGTCCCAAAGAGGAATGAGATGCCTTGGAAGGCAGTGAGTCCTCCTTCCTTGGAGGCTTCAGGCACAGACCGGATGATCACTTGCCAGGTATGTTATAGAGGGACCCCGTTTGTGTATGGGCTGGATTAGATGGTCACTAAGGTCCCTTCCACACTCAAATTCTGTGACTCTGTGATCCTTATTCCTCTGCTAGGAATACTCTCTACTTGATTAATAGCTTTCCTAAATAGTGGGGCCCAGAAACAATCACTGTCACCTCTGGGAGGGTGGACAAGATGTCATAAAGGACACTGGCTCTGGAGGTAGAAGACCTGGCTTCAAACACCATTCGATGCTTATTACTGTGGGATCTTGGGAAGTCATTTAATCTCTGTGGACTTTAGTTTCCTTATGGGGAAAATGAAAGGACCTCTGAGGTCCCTCCAGTCCTAAATGTCTGCTCCCCATTCTCATTCTTGGAAGATACCCTTCTCTTAATGGAGCCTAAGATTGAACTGGCTGTCTGGACTGCCATATTGCATTATTCATTCCTGTTGAGCTGGCAGACCACTCGGTTCAGATCAACCGCTCTCCAGCCCTACTTCCTCTATCTGGTTCTTATGCAATTGATTTTTTGAACCTAAGTATAGAACTTTACATTCATCTTAATTATATTTCATCTTCTGGCATGAAGGTTCATTCTTCAGTCACTGTGCTACACCAAGTTGCCTCTCTCTAAGACCATAAGTTGTAAAGAAGGAGCTGACTTGCATTGATAGATGGCATTTCCTCATCTGGAAACTCTATATATGAATGAAATCACATGTGCAGCCCCTATTCCTGTTATAGTTCCTATTATATTTCATCTCACTATTTACCTTTATTCTATTCAGTTTCATTTCAGTCAATTTGGCTTGATGTTCTATGGGGGGATCCCTCTTCTCCTCATTTCCCCTTCAGGATTTTTATTGGGTGAAATCTGGTTTTAGAAGACATCAAGAACAGTTTGCCTGACAGTGTGGAAGGAGATCTTTCAGGTCCCTTCTGGCTCTAAATCCTAGGCACTGATGGCTCAGACATTAGGAAGAGCAGTCATTGAGGGGAGGGGGTGTTATAGAGAGGAGATGTCCCGGAGGGCACTGAGCAACCCAAGAGAACAGAAAGAAAAGGGATACTGGTCTTATATTGGATTCTGTAGTCTAGCCACAGTCCTCTTCTCTTCTCCTAGCTGCTGTAGGCACTCACTTCTAGAGCTTAGGGTCTGGGGACCATGGTCTTGAGTTGCTATACTCTAGTGAAAGCTTTACTTGTCGTTGGGACTAGGCTTATGGACCCAAAATTCTTGGGCTGGTCGAAATCTCAGAGATTGTTTTCTATCCAGTTTAAGAGAAGCAAAAGTGTGGTGGAAATATGCTAGGAGTGAGAAATCCTGATGAGGAATTCTAGTCCTAGGTTCTAAGGTTCCCCCTGAGTTCTAGGCTCAGGTATCTAGAGCTGTGTGACCCTAGGCAAGCCCCTTGACTTCTTTGGGCCTGTGAAATGAAGAGATTGGATCAGTTAACCTCTGAGGTCCCTTCCAGATCCAACCTATAATCCTATAACTGTTGTTGTTGTCAATTTTTTCAGTCACATCTGACTCTTTGTGACCATTTTACAGGTCATTTTACAGATGAGGAAACTGAGGCAAACAGGGTTAAGTGATTTGCCCAAGGTCACATAGCTAGTAAGTGTCTGAGGCTGGATTTGAACTCAGGAAGATGAGTCTTCTTGACTCCAGGACCGACACTGTATCGACAGAGTCACCTAGCTGCCCAATCCCATTACTAGGTAACCTCTAAAGTCCTTATCCACGATCTTCTCTTCCAACTCTAAGGCATAAGGATCTGATGACTTTGAACAATTTAACCCTCACACTAACCCTGTGACACAGGCAGGATAGGGATTATTGTACCCATTTGTCAGATGACAAAAGGGAGGCTAGATAACGTGTCTAAGCTTACAAATTTATAACAGAACAGGGATTGGGACTCAAGTCTTCTGGCTTGTGGTCCAGGGTCCTTCCCATCATTTGGTGGCCTCCTAAGGTAGATCACACTTAGATCTTGTGTAAGTGAACACATTTGTGTTCCCCCTGCCTAGAGAGGCAGTGCTGTGTAGCAGATAGAACACTAAATTAGATATTGAGAAAACCTGTGTTCAAATCTTACCTCTGGGACTAACTACTTGTTTAATCCTGGGTACATTACGTAATCCCTCTGAACCTCAGTTTCCTCATATGTAGAAAAGAGGGGTCAGACTAGATAGCCATGATCCTATGTTAATCACCATCTTCCAAGTCACCTAGAATCAAAACTTCCGAATCATCTTGGACTCTCTCTTCCCACATCCAGTTACTTGCTAAGTCCGGTCAGTTCTCTCTCTCTACAATATTCCCCCTCACCTCCACCCCCTTCTTTATTCACACATTAATGCAGACCACCATCAGCTTTTACCTGGATGATTGTAATAGCCTGCTAAGGTCTCCCTGCTGCCAATCTTTCATTTCTAAACCCCCTTCACACTGTTGCCAGAATCATCTTCCTAAGAAACAATCCTCACTCTTTTGCTCCAAAGTCTTCACTGGCTCCCATTTTCCCCTTGGATAAAATACAGATGCTTGAAATTGAAGGCTCTTAACAGTCTGATGCCTTTCCAGTCTTATTTCTATTACTCTCCTTCATGGACTCTACATTCTAAACAAAAAGGACCGTTTAGCTGTTCCCTGGATTTGATACCCCATCTCCCACCTCTGTGTATTTCTCCAGGTTGGGGCATAGCTGCTTCTCATCAGTATCTTTCAGAATCCTCTTCCTTCAAGGCTGAGCTCAGATGCTTCTTCCTCCATGTTGTGTTTGCTGATCTGTCCCCCCCAGGTAAAAGTAATTTCTCTCTCTTCAAAATTTCCTATTTTTTCTGTGTCTTTCAGTCAATGAATGAATCAATAAGTAAGTACTTAATAGGTACCAATTAAGTAGTAGGGCAGTTAGGTTGCTCAGTAAATAGAACATTGATTCTGGAGTCAGGAAGGTCTGAGCTCAAATCTAGCCTCGGACACTTACTAGCTATGTGGCCCTGGATAAGTCATTTAACCCCTATTTGCCCCAGTTCCTCATCTGTAAAATGGGAACCCACTGCAGAAGGACATGGCAAACCATTCCAGTACCTTTGCCTGGGTTCAAATTCAACCTCTAATACTTACCTGGAGTGCCCTTGAGCAAGTACCTTCCTCTCCCTGGACCTCAGTTTCCTCCTTGGTAAAATGGAGGTCTTGGACTAGGCGATCTTTGAGGTCCTTTCCAGCTATAGATCTGTGATCCTATCAGGTGAATACAAGCTCAGTATATACTGAGATGGATGCTCTCCTTTCCCCCCATCACAGTCCACATCATGTCATATTTTTCTTTACAGTCTGTCTTCCTGTCCCCCAATCCCTGCCAGACCCAACAGAATGTAAGCGAGATGAGGAAGGATGACTTTTTTTTTTCAGCTTGACATTCTCAGGGACATGGAGGTCATAGGTAGAATTGAGTTGAACTGAATTTTGGTGGAGCAGGACTTAGTGCAGAACTCTCCATGAGATGAGGGACCCAGACTCCCTAGGAAAGGCATGAATGTGCTTGTTAGCCTAGAGAAGGACCACATGCTGCTCATTCCACCAAAAATAAATGCGACCCAAAGTAACCCCAGATGCCTCTGAGTCCCTTCCAGCTCATCCACGGCGGGAGTACTGGTTGGTGAGACATTCCTTAATTCTTCCCTTTCAGCAGCTTTCTTGAACTGCTCTTCCTGCACTCAGCATGGGCTTCATCAGCTGGTTTCCTCTGCTAGCTAAACAATAAATACAGGCCTCTTCAGAACCTTCGTCTCCTTAAGAATGGGGCCTGGGGAAGGACATGGAGGAAGATGATGGGGTCACAGGATCACGGTTTTAGATCTGGGATGAATCTCGGAGTCCAATTGCCTCATTTGACAGATGGAGGAACTGAGACCAAGGAAGATCAAGTCACTTGCTGAAAGTCACACTGGTAATGAGTGTCAGAGGCAGATTTGAACCTGGGTCCTCTGACTTCTTCTTTTGACCTCTGTCTCTGATTTTCATGACTTTGCTCTGACTCAAAGCTACAATTAGCAGTAATCATGCCTGGTGCAAGTTCATTTGGGGGTGAGGACAGAAGACATTTTCACAAGTGGAGTCATCTCAGAAAAGTGGGTGGCCTATCTGCAGGTCTATCTTAGCGATTGAGAGGAAAGGAAGGGATGCCATGGCAGTGAGACCCTGAGTGTGTAGGTAATATGGTATGATGGAGAGGTCAGAGCACCTCAGAAGAAATCCTACTTCTGATGCTTATGACCTTGCATCAGGAAGACCCCAAGTCCAGCCTCAGATGCTTGCTAGCTGGGTTATCCTCTCTTTCCCTCATCTGTAAAATGGGGATAATTGTAACACCGGCTCCGCTCCATTTCCCCGGGGTTGTTGTGAGGATACAACGAGATAATATTTGTAAAGCGTCTAGCACAATGCCTGGCACATAGCAGGTGCTTACTAAATGCTCATTTCCTTCCTTCTCACTGGGTGGCCTCTGAGGTACCTTTCAGATCCAGGCTGATGTTCCTACGAGGTTTGTGTTCCTGGATGACCAATGTTAGGCTAGAAGCCACTTCAGAGAGGAGAGATGCTGGGGAGGGGCAAACAACATCCTCTCCACACTAGTTACACCTCTGACATAAGCAGGATGCTGGCTCGCCTTGTGTATTGAGACAGCCCAGACATTTTCGGAAAGGATCCAGGGAAAGAGCAGAGCCTTGACTTTTCTAGCCTATTCTATGGCTGGATTCAGGTCTGCTTCATCTGGGGTCCTGCCTTCATTTTCGTTTGAGTAGTGAGAACCTGCCGTGTCACCATTCCTTGGAAAACAGTGAATGGAGTCATGCCTTGGGGAGGCTTGATTCTAATCCTAGCCGTAAGACCTAACTCATGAATATATATGATATCTATTTCCATATCTATCGCTCTATGTCCATCTATTATATCTGTCTATCTGTCTGTCTGTCTTCTTCTCAGTCTTCTTTGCCATGATCCTATGATTCCCAAGTCACTTTCTGCCCCGGGCCTCAGTTCCCCCCACTTGTAAAAACAGGGGGTTGGACTTGCTGACCTCTAAGGTCCTTCCCAGCTTTAAATCTAGAAACTAGGAAGGTCTTTGAAAATATGTAGCCCAAGTCCGTCATTTGACAGATCAGGAAATGAACACTTAGGGAAAGGAAGTGACTTGCTCAAGGAGACGCAGGGAGCCAGTATAAAACCAAGAGAAGCACTCAAGTTCTTTTTCTCCAACCCGGGAAGCCGTCTCCAAGCGTTGGCACAGTCTAGACCAGAATCTCAATGCCGACCTCAATACACAACTGATACAGCCCGGAACACATGGAGGGACTGGGGGGGGGCGGGGCTGACAGCCCTCTGTGAGTGACTCTTACTAAGGATCCCCTTTCACGTTTCTCAAACCAGACAAGGCTCTCTCCTCTCCTCAAGGGCACAAAAGGATTGGTCCTCATTAAACGACTGCCTCTTCTCTGCCCAGTGAACAGGGATAAAGGTCCTGCACCAGACTAATGTGTTGCTCTGGCAACCCAGATGTGACAGTTTGGACAGCTTTGGCGGCAGAGTGTACATTTGGGTGACTCACACCTTTTCCTAGAAGCCTGGAGCACTGTTCTCCAGAGAGCAAGGCCAGCTGGTCATGTCTGCTGTGCCCTGGTGCCAGGGAAATACACAGCCACAGAACCAGGCTGCCTGTTTTCCAGTCCCGCCTCTGCTCTGTGACCTCATGTTCCTTCTCTGGTCCTCATTTTTTTGTCCGTTAGAAAAAAAGAGTGGAGGACTGGACTAGACCCAAGGTCCCTTCTAGCCCTGAGAGCTGATGATTTCTTCTCTTAGATCACTAAACCTTGGCTTCTATCAATCTCCTTTGCCTACTTATGATCTGAGGGAAGCAGTGACCAAGAAAGAGAGTTTGCAGCATGAGAGCTGACAGCATGGTATAGGGTCTTGGAATCCAGACCCCAGTTCAAATCCTACTTCTAACACCAGCTAGCTGATGACCCTGGTCAAGTCACTTAACTTCTAGGTGTCCCAGACAATTCCCTAGTACTTAATTGTCCACAAGTACCTTGAATGCCTGACGGATAGAGAGGGATAGGCCTTTGATTTAATTGGTATAGAAAACTTATAGATGAGACAACTCCCTTGACCAATGGAACTTGGCACCTCCTATGAAATGGACAATCTTAGTTATATAGAGCAGGGGGACCGAGGGGTCACTGGGACACCCTGAGACCCTTTTAGGGAGTCCATAAGGTCAAAACTGTTATCCTAATAATGCTAAGATGTTTTCATTACTAATACAGTAAAAAACCTAATAGATAAAATTTACATAGTAATAGTAAGAGCCACGATTAGAACCCAGGTCCTCTGACTTTACTGCAATCTCAGCCATTCTGGCATATTTGTTTCCATTTATATGTATTCTCCAAGAGAGGTAATGGTTCCTGGAAACAATGTTTTCAGCCAATGTTTTTTTTCTTTCTTTCTTTCTTTATTCACTTGTTTATTTATTTTTGTTTTTGTTTTTTTGTTTTTGGCTGGGCAATGGGGTTAAGTGACCTGCCCAGAGTCACACATCTAGTAAGTGTTATGTGTCTGAGGCCGCATTTGAACTCAGGTCCTCCTGAATCCAGGGCTGGTGCTCTATCCACTGCGCCACCTAGCTGCCCTAGCCAATGTTTTTTTTTCTCATTTTCTTTTTTTAAACCAGATTTGTGATTTCATCAGCAGGAAGAAATCCTGGAATCCTGATGTGGAGATTCCCTTCTCTGACACAGATCAATTACTTATTTACAAATTAGAGTCTCTGAGAGCTGCCTGGGGCACTAAGAGGTTAAATGACTAACCCAGGGACACAAGGTCCATAAGTATCTGAGGTAGGGTTCCAACCCAAGTCTTCCTGCTTCCCAGGTCCCCTCTGCTTCACCAGGCTCCCTCTATATTTAGTAGAAATATCCAGCTAAATTTTGGGAAGTAAGATGATCCAATGATTAGGAAGGAATGGATCAGGGCAGTTCTAAGCAGAGGTGTGCTGGCAAATGTTTAATAACTGGCTCCCTGGAAAAAAAGAAACAGGTGCACAGAACACACTTTTAAGTTTAATTATTTTCTCCATCACTTTCTTAAGTCAAGCCAATCAACAAAACACTAAATTAAGCCTTGATTTTTAGCATATACCAATTTCTGAGGCGTAAATGCTGGTGCTGAAAATTTAACAATCAGCTCTCTGCTGGATAGAGCTGGCTCCAGGATACAGATCATGGCTGAGTCTCAAGTTGTTTATAACCACGTTTCCATTAGTAGCCCCTTCTAATATGTCATTTGGAGCCTTTCTCTTACGTTGAAAAAAGCTACTATCTCCTGAGTTTTAAAAAAAGTACCTAATTTGATTTTGCAGAACAATTGCCCTGCCTGACAGAAATCGGAGATGGGGATGACCCTGGGACGAGGCAGCGAGAGCTATTTCAGAGTCTCAGACTTTGGGCTTCCTCTGTTCCAGATTCCACATTAAGACTTACCCTTATACTTTGAACCTCAAAGGTAATACTCGGTGTAATTGTTGGTAATGAAAATAATGAAAATCCTTGCTCTCCTGCCCTTGCAGTTTGCTGATAAAGACCCCCATCACCCATTCTTGCTCTAAGATTTAGAATTGGGAGGGACCTCAGAGGTTGTCCATCCAACCCACTCATCTCATGATGTGCGTATGATGATTTAAAGTTGACAAAGCGATCTCATGTATCAGCCCTTTTAATACCTCCACAACCAGAACGTCTGAGATTTGGGACTATGGACTTTGCCCAACACACTCCAGGAGACTTGTTGGCAGGAAAGGGTACCATGCACATTATCATCCTTGTTTTATAGAGTAGGAATCTAAATAGGAACCCTAGAGAGGGCAATTTGTAAAATGAAGGGGTTGGATTAAATCAACAGTTCTCAGAGTGTGGTCTGGGGATCCCTGGGGGTCTCTGAGACCCTTTCAGGGGTTCTGCAAGGTCAAAACTATTTTCATAGTAATACTAAGATGCTTTAATTTCTAATTGGGACAGCTGGGTGGTGCAGTGGATAGAGTGCTGGGCCTGGAGTCTGGAAGACCTGAGTTCAAATCTGGCCTTAGACACTTATTAGATGTGTGACCCTGGCCAAGTCACCTAACCCTGTTTGCCTCAGTTTCCTTATCTGTAAAATGAGCTGGAGAAGGAAATGGCAAACCACCCCAGTATCTTTGCCAAGAGAATCCCAAATGGGGGGACATGGAGAATCAGACACAACTAAAATGACTAAACAATATTTTTATTTTATCTTGATGGATATAACTCACCTAAACTAATTTTTAAGAGTGCAAAGGGGTCCTAAGACCAAAAAGTTTAAGAACCATGAAATTAGGTGATCTGTATGATCCTTCTGGTTCTAAGATTATGATTCTATGACTGGGCAAGTCAATGGGCCTTCTAAAGCCTCAGTTTCCCCATTTGTAAGATAAAAAAGAAGTTGGATTGACTTGCCTCTGACATCTTTCCAACTCTAAGCCAGTAATTCTATAATCTTTGCAACACAACTGTGAGACCAGAAGCCCTAACCTTGAGTTCTAGATTTGAATCTTGGCTCAGCCACATGTATGACCTTGGACAAGTCACTTGCTGGGCCTCAAGTGTTTCAATTGAAGGTATCTCTTAGCTCTAAACATATGACTGAACCCTAGAAGAAGGGACGCTGTATAGATCCCTACCAATATTTTATAGATTTAAAGCAAGAAGAGACATTTAGAGGTCCAACCACCTCATTTTTAAGATGTGAAAACTGAGGCTCACAAAGGGCATATGATTTGTCCTTCATCATATTGTAATGAGCAGATTGGGGATCAGAATGCAAGTCCTCTGACACAAATCCCATACTTTTCCATTATCCCATGAAGAAGTTAGAAAATGTCTGAGAGTCAAGGGAAAGAAATGATAGGTGGGGTTCTAGAGTAGATTTTTCCAAGTCTTCTACACTGTAATACCCAAAGGAAAGGACTGTGGGACGATAGTCCAGTGTATGTCCTCAATATAAATGGAGATTTCTCAAGCAACCGATCAAAAAGTATGCATAAAGTCCTTACCATGTGCTAGACACCATGCTAAGTGCTGGAGAAACGAAGAAAAAACAAAACCAATCCTTGCCTTCAGGGAGTTTATATTTTAATGGAGGAGACAATATCTACACCAATAGATATGTAGTATATGCTCTGGAGCATGGGTCACATTTCCAGAAGAAGATTAAAATGTAATTGGGAAATTCTTAACAAAATAAATAAAAATGTAATAGAATATAGTTAATGTTGACATGTGGTTTTCTAAGTCAATATGCAGCCTTGCAGGGATCTTTATATGTGGTTTAGTGGCCTCCTGCTCTGGAGCTACCATCCTAACCTTCATTCTCAATGGTAGACTAGGTCCCCAGAGCGTTGCTTCTTTATTTCCCCTCAAGATGTAAGGGTAGCCCCGAGGAGTTGGAGGAATGTCTTTTCTAGTGCTTTATGAGCCCCCACTGGTGTGTTCCCCTCCATGATCATCATTCTAAATCAATTAGTCAGACAGAATTAATTAGCTGTTAGGGGTATTTACTAATCTGGCATAAGAATAGTTGGAACAAAATAGCGCGCCACCCCCCCCCCATTCGCAAAGTCTGTGACTTACTCTCCCACAAGTACATACAGAGTCTAGGAGAAAGTGGACTCGAATTTAGACAGAATATGTGGCATAAGGATAATGCATTTCCCCTTAAGCATGGTCTAGATTTTCTGATGAGATCCTTGTAGAGTCTCAAAGCTTCCTTTCTTCAGGATGCTTAGTTTGTTCTTGGGCTCTCAGTGAAGACAATGACTCCAGGTGTTCTGGGAACATGCTAAAATGCCAGTGGGAAACCCAAAGTCCCACAGACCCTTTGAAGTTACATTTTCCTCCTCTGGCCATGGAAGAGAGAAGAGTATTGTGACTGAGGCTGAGGTTGAGGTCAGGGCTGGGTCTCTTCTCCTTCCCAACCCAATCTACTCCTTCTCAGGGGCTCAGCCAGAAAGCTTCCAGAACCTTGAATTCCCAGGTTCTGAACTTGCTTGTTGTGTTGGTAGACCCAAAGAGCATGACCAAGTTTTGTCAGCTAACGCCAATACAGTTCATGTGTAGCAATATTGCCTTTTATCTGCTGTTGTTCAAGGACTTCTAAATTGACCAAGGATTTTTTGAACTTGGTCTAAATCCTGTGATTGATTAATTGATCAAATAGGGATGTCTAGGCTTTGATCACATTTCTGACTGATTTTTTGTTCTTCCCCAAAGAAGGTATTACAGCACAGCATCTTGTTATGTACTTTAAGTGGGAATGGGGTAATTGAATGATTGACTCAAGTGACCTACACATTTATATTCCATCCCCTATCAGTTTACTGGAATGTATTTGCAAGGAGGCACTATAAATAAGTAAAATACAAATAAAATGCAGACAGCCTCTTCCCTCAAGAAATTTACATTCTAATAAGGGAGCTGAAAAGCAGGGGGAATGGGAGATGTGGGTACCTACTGAGGGGCATGTTTTTTTTTTCCATCCAGAGGAAGTTAGGAACAGGGGCCTGAAGGAGAATGAAGGCAAGCCAGCCTTGGCCCCTCCACAAAATGGAGGCACCAGGAGGAACTCACCAATGGGACAAAGTGGACAGGCTTTGTTTGGCAAAGACCATAGTCCTGAATCTTGGATGAGTCTCCAGTGAGATTCCATATTATCCTTTTTGAATGCTTTCCCCAGTGCCTCATTCCTGATAATTAACATTCTTCCATATTTACAAATACTTGCCAGATAGGGGAAAGGTAGAATCATTGAGAAGGTTATGGGAAAAGGCACACACTCTGCTCTGGCCTTGATGGAATTCAAGCAGTGTGCAGATTAGAGTGGGCAAGGGAGTTTGAGGTAGGTGCTTAAGGCATATTTTCTGGATGAATGGATGGATGATTAAATTATGTCTTTTATTGACAGAAAATGGCCACCGATGATTACAACTTCACTGACGGCTACTACGACTATGAAGGCGATGGGTTTGTCATAGCACCGGAAGAGTCAAGCCCCAATGATGATGGGGTGGCCAGGATCTTCCTGGTGGTGGTCTACAGCTTAGTCTGCTTTCTGGGACTCTTGGGGAATGGTCTGGTCATTGTGATCACCGCCTTCAAGATGAAAAAAACTGTAAACACTGTCTGGTTTCTCAACCTAGCTGTGGCAGACTTTTTATTCAATGTCTTCCTCCCAATTCACATCGTCAATGCTGCCATGGACTACCACTGGGTTTTTGGGAAGGTCATGTGCAAGATCAGCCACTTTGTAGTGGTCTACAACATGTACACCAGCGTCTTCCTACTTACCACCATCAGCTTTGACCGCTGCATCTCTGTTGTCTTCCCGGTGTGGTCCCAGAACCATCGGAGCGTCCGGCTAGCTTCCATTGCATGTGCAGCCATCTGGACCCTAGCCTTCTTCTTGGGCTCCCCGTTCTTGGTTTTCCGGGACACCACTGTGCACCAGGGCAAAATTGTCTGCTTCAACAACTTCAGCCTGTTGGCCAATGTCTCCCACCCTTACCATTTCCATTTGGCCCAGGACTCGGTTGCCTACGTGAGGCATGTGATGGTGACCGTCACCCGATTCCTGTGTGGATTCATTCTCCCGGTGTGCATCATCACAGTGTGCTATCTCATCATTGTCTGCAAGCTGAAGCGCAACAGGTTGGCCAAATCCAAGAAGCCATTTAAAATCATCGTGACCATCATCATCACCTTTTTCCTCTGCTGGTGTCCTTACCATACCCTGTACTTGCTGGAGCTCCACCACACCGCCGTGCCAGCTTCTGTGTTCAGTCTGGGGCTACCCTTGGCCACAGCCCTTGCCATCTCCAACAGCTGCATGAACCCCATTCTGTACGTCTTCATGGGCCAGGATTTCAAGAAGTTCAAGGTGACTATCTTCTCCAGGCTGGTTAATGCCTTGAGTGAGGACACAACTGCCCACTCCTCCTTCATGAGTCATAGGAGTATCACTAAGATGTCCTCTGTGAATGAAAGGTCCTCTGTGAATGAGAGGGAGACAGGCATGCTCTGAGTGTCACCTCAGGACCGCCCCCCCCAGTGTCCACAGAGACAGGCACCTCCTTTTGGCTTTGGCTCAACTGGGAAACTTTCAAACTGTCTAAAGCCAGGGCAAGAATATATCTGGCTACCACATTTCCACCAAGGTTGTTGAATCACTGTTAGCTGGTGGCTAAATTTGAAGAGAGAAGTGAAAGACATTTTGAGATAGGTCCCAAGGGGATGGAATTAAGCTCCATGAATTCAGGGCATTCACTGTCAGGCTTTTTATCTTGTCTCACCTCTCTGTGGCCTATGAGCTAATATAGTGGATTAAAGAAACTTGTCATGCTGAACATGAGCTGGTAATTATCTTAAGAATGTCAACATGAAAGGGGACTTGGAGATCATCTTTACGAGGTGGGGAAAGTGAGGCCCAATGAGGCCATGTGCCTGGCCCAAGGTCATTTGATGGCAAAACCAGGACTCGAACTCAGATCTGTCCAAGTCACAGACATTGCCTGCCCATGAATACACCCCCTTTGGGGGATGATGAGTTTTCTTCTAGCCTTGAATGAAGAAGGGGCCAAAGAAAGAATGAGGACATTCTCAGAGAGAAGGCTCTACAAAGCTCACTATGGGATTTGACTGAGTGTTTTAAATGCTTCCAGGGATGGGATCCTATTCAGGGCCATGATGAGGAATATATTTGGTCACTCTCTCCTAGGGAGTGACCCAATGATTTTATCCCTAGCACTGGCCTATGTGTAGGCAGCTTAGCCTATGTTAAAGGCACCATCCTCCCTCACCCCCCACCCCCAGCTTAAACACTGCCTCAAATTTAGAAAGCAGAATGTAAGCTCCTGAGGGCGAGATTTGTTCTATTTTTGTTTTTGTCTCCCTAGCACTTGACACAGTGCCTGGCGCATTTTAAATGTTTGAGGAATGTTTGTTGAATTGAATTATTCCATCAGAGCCGTAGAATCTCCGGTGGTTGATAGGGACTTAGTATTTAGGAGGACAGGATTTTAGAGCTGGTAAGGACCAACCTTCATTAATTCATCAAACCCATCAAGTTCAACCACCTAATTTGTTTACAAATAAGGAAACTGAAGTCCATTGACTTGCCCAAGGTCACACTGGTGGTAAGTTGCAGAACCAGGTCTTTTAACTCCAAACCCAAGACTTTTACCACTATGCCATACAATCTCCTAGTCCAATCTAGACTACTTAATCTAATCCATTCTTCAACACTCTAACAAATAAGAATCCTCCTTTGGGTTAAGGCTTTGCTTCTAGAATACCCCTGTTGACCATGGATATATTTCCTGGTTGGGGTAGCATAATAGTCCAGGGGCACCCTTTGTCATGGCAGTGTAGATGGATTTTATTTTTGTAAGGCAGTTGGGGTTAAGTGACTTGCCCAGGGTCACACAGCTAGTGAGTGTCAAGTGTCTGAAGCTGGATTTGAACTCAGGTCCTCTTGACTCCAAGGCCGGAGCTCTGTTGTAGACTGATTTCTTAGATTAGTTTGAAGTGTAGAGAACAGATCACAGAATGACAGGATCTGGGATGATGGTGGTGGGCACACCTGTGCTGGTGGGGGGAGGGGAAAGGAATAGATGAGAACCTTAGGACCTATCTCTCAAGAGTCACGGTGGGGTCCCACAGTGGAGGGGGCACCTGTAGTAGTGTTAGGGGTCTGGGTGAAGAGAGTTTTGGGGTAAACACTGAGAGAGGGTTGAAGGTGCTGCAGGGATTGTGAGAGAGCATGAAAAGTAACTTTGTCAAGCCCCCAATTTAGCTGTGGGCTGGCTCTGCTTCCTGCATCCAGAGCCTGGGTATCTGGTCCTGCAGGGTCTTTTCCTGCAATGAGGAGGTCACAGAACCACTGAGAAGTCATCTGCAACCTATGCGTTATTGAGAATCCCCTCTGTAATATTTAGGACAAATGGCCAATTTGCTTGAAGAACTGCAGGGATGGGGAGTCCCCCAGCTCCTGAAGCAGCCCATTCCACTTTGTGACACCTCTCCCACTTCACTCATTGACTCAACTCTCTGCACTTCTTTTCCCCCTCCTCCCCACCTCTCTGCCACCCCCACTTTCCAGTTCCCTGATAGGTGTTATCTTCCTGTCCCATGATTGTCCTTAGCGCCCTCTTCTGGATGCCTTCCAACTTATCTGTGTTTCTTAAAATGAGATGCACAGCTCTGCTGAGCATATTAACCATTCACCTGCAGGGTTTGAGCCTGACAGCTAATGCACAGCCCCCACATTGCCTCAAATAACCATTGCTCACACCCCTGCTGACTCAGTGACTTACTCCCTGCCTCACATCTCCTCAAAATAACCCAGCTTCCTTTTCTTCCCCTCCTTTGGCTGCTTAAAAATCTCAACTTGGGACTCAGACTGGTTAGAGAAAAAGCTGAAAACTTTTGACAAACAGGAAGGGAAACTATTGGGAATAATCCACCAAGAAGTGACAGATCATAGATTCAAAATGGGAAAGGACTTCAGCAACCATGTAGCCCAACGCCCCATTTTACAGATGAGGAAACTGAGGCCCAGGGATGTGACTTTCCTAAAGTTACACAGCTAGTAAGTATCAAAGGAAGAAATCAGTGACATACTGCTCTCTTGCTCTTGCCCTGGACTCAAAAGCTGGTTGTCACAAATTTACTCCCATATGGAGGGTCATATTTTGTGTACTGATAACTGCACAAAGTCAAGAGACCAAAAGAGCGTATCCCTTCTTTTAGATGAACAAGAGGACATGGATAAGTCTCACAGGATGGGCAGGTGCAGATGGGTCGCTATCTTCATCATGGCAGGGGCCACATGTATTACTGAATATTGGAATGGTTATAGTTTGAAAGACTCAGAGATGACTGAAATTGGAAGAAAATACAGAAACTCTCTAACCCAATCTTTTCATTTTATGGATAAGGAAATAGAAGCCTAAAGAGAAGTGACCTGCTCAAGGTTACATGATTAGTTAGCAGAGCTGGGAATCCAACCAAGGTGTTCTGACTCCTAATCACCATCACAGAACGTTGAAACTGGAAAGGCCCTCCGGGATCATCGAGACCACATTACAGCCAGGGAGAACAAGAAAATTGTCTACTTTTTACTAATAAATCATGATTGCTTATCAACCCCAAATTAATTTTGTATTGACTTTGCAATTAGTTTAAAAAACCATTAGACCTAATGAAGAAAATCCATTTAGGTGACAGTTTCCTTTCTCTATGCTTGTGGCAAACCGAAGCCCACACTTCTATACATTACTATTCCTCTTACTTAAAGACAGCAGAGTGTTATGAAAAAGTATCCTGGACAGGGCTTTGGAGGGACCTGGGTTCAAATCCTATCTCAGGCAAGTGATCAGTGATGAGACCTAAGGAAAATTGCTTATTCTCGGGGGCCTCAGTCTCCATCTTGGTCAAATGATAATGATAATGATGCCTGGGAGGCTCCAGTAAGAAAGAAGGCTGTAGAATATATCACAAACTTTAAAGAGTCCTAGAAAAATCTTCTCCCTACCTCATTCCTTGAAGAGACCTCAACACCTTTGGAAGCTGGTGAATGGGAACAGAAGGGACCCTGACTTGGGAGGCAGGTGAACATGTTGTGTGACCTCGGGCAATTTAATAATTCAATAACCATTTATAAATAATGTCAATAAATCTACAAATAATTGCAATACACAATAATTCAATAAACATTTATTAAACACCTACTATGTGTCATGTCCTGTACTAGGTGCTGGGGATATAAAAAAGAGGCTGAAGACAGTCCCTGCCCTCAGGGAGCTTACACTCAAAGTTACCTCACCACTCTGGGCCTCAGTTTCTTATTCTGTATGATGATGGCTTTGGACTAGATCCTAAGGTCACAGGATCATGGATTCAGGGCTAGAAGGGCCCTCCTTGGTCATCCAGTCCAATTCCTTCCTTTTGAGTTGGGGAGATTGAGCCCCAGGGAAGTCAGAAGATTTAAAATCTAGAACCAGAAAAGAGCTCAGAGGCCTTTAGTCACTTTCTTAATTTACAAATGAGAAAGCCAAGGCCCATGGCAAAGTGATTTGACCAGGATCACATGGGTAGTAAACATCAGAGGTGAGATCTGACCTCAGGGCCTCTGACTTCAGAGGTAGGGCTCCTTTTGCTGTATCACTTTGGATGGAAATCCAGCTAGTAAGTGGTAAAGTTAAGATTGGAACCCAGGATTGAATTTGGCTTCAGATTTCGGATAGGAAGTTTTGGGAAGTTTGTGACCCTGTGGCCAAGACCCTCAGAGCTCTCCCCATCACCCAGATTTCCCTAGAGGTTGGATAGACCAACCTGAGGACAGCCTTGTTTATTTTAGAACACGGCCCCCTGGGCAGGATTTTCATTTTCCTAAACATTTGATCACAAATACTGTCTCACTGACAAGAACTCGGTGACCAGCATGGAAATGTTTCCACCCAGGCATTAAATGTTCCCGATGTTATATGGACATTGGTGACTCATAACTCATTTGGAGAATTTTTTCCCTTCCTCTTAAAAAACATGGTTTTCATGTGGCTAAATGTTCGTGAAAAGCCACACCTGCCTGCAGGGGTGGGGACATTCAGCTAATGATTCCATTAATACATGGAGGTATCATCATTTTCTCCAGGGTGGCTGACTGAGTGGTGGGTGGACTGGAGGATGCTTTAACCAGAAGATACACGGAGCTATGGTAGAATCTCTGAACATAGCAAAAAGGAAGACAAATTATCCACTGTTGAGCCTATTCATTCCCTCTATTCCAGCGAAGGATGTTTTTTTCAACTATCTCTAAGGATGTCAATGCCCCTTTAATAAAATGTGTTTCTCCAGGGTCAGTATGGCAGGAATTTAGCCACTTTGTCATTCACAGTCTAGCATCTTGTCAGCAGTTACTAGAGAATGAAAATCTGAATTGGCCCCAGATGCTTCTTGTGTGAGAACCTGACCCCTCCAGAGGTGACTCATGCCTGCTCCCAATTCCTGGCTCCTGGAATAACCCAAGTCACAGTCTGTAAGGGCAATGCTATGTTAGAACAACTCTCTATCTTCTCATTCACTTCTTCACCTCTCTCCCTGACCTCTTGCACTTAGGACAGAGAAAGTCTTTTCAGTCTGATATTAGAACTTTGGAATTATAGAATCCAGAATGGTAGAGTTGGTAAGGACCTTAGACATATGGTCCCCCCCAGGTAAGCTACCTCAAGTTTAAAGTTCTTTATGGGAGAACATGGACATCCACAGGGGAAAAAAAAAAACAAACAAAAACACAAAACCATATCTTACCAGCCCCCACCAATGTGTTTACTTTGAATAGTCAGGACCAAAGACAAGATTAGTTGAAAGTAGAAATAAATTATGAAATAGCACAGTGAGAAAAGTAACAATATTACCTTTTTTACTAAGCCTGTATATAAGTATTTGGGGGCGGGGTGCTAGGCAATGGGGTTAGGTGACTTGCCTGGGGCCACACAGTTAGTACATGTTATGTGTCCGAGGCCGGATTTGAACCCAGGTCCTCCTGAATCCACGGCCGGTGCTCTATCCACTGCACCACCTAGCTGCCCCCCACTAAGCCTGTATATATACTGCCACAAATACATGCATAATCAGTGGAAGGAGTAACATATCTAGGGAATATTTGTGGAGATGTACACACATAGGGAACACGTGTAGACACAGCACATACATCGAGGAACATGCAAGTAGGGAACATACGTGGCCATTGCACTCACATGGAGAAGCATTGTTTACAAGTAGGGAAAAGATGTGGCCAGGAGACACAAGGGAGGAGGCAACTCATATCTCTGACACAGAAGGGCCACTGATGACTTCTGAACTTTGCTGGGCCTGATTTCCTATACTACAGTCAAGTCAATTCACTTTGATTAAACACTTACTATGTGGAAGACACTGTGCTAAGCACTGGGTCTATAAATGCAAACAAAAAGATAGATGATACCTGCTGTCAATGAGCTTACATTCTAATGGGGGAAGACAGCACATAAAATGGAGCTGAAAAACCCTGGGTGTGGGGGGGCAGGGAGAGGGTACCCATGCGGGAGCATGGTGGCAAAGCCTGCGGAGTGAAGCATGGTCTTTCTGGGCTCCTCCACAAAGTGGAGGCTCTAGAAGGGGACTCACCAGTGGGAGAAGGTGGATGGAGGGAGGAAGCAGATAAAGCATGGTGGTAAAGTAGTCTTGTATTCTCTGCTGGGCATTTTTTCCCCTCCTGTTCTTGAGTGGTTACAGCTCCGGTGATCTCATTGTAAGTAATGGCTGCTGCTAGGCATGGCTCTGGTGGGAATGAGCTTTTCTATGCTCCCAGCTAGTGGAGTCCTCATCTGAGATGCCGTCCCTTTCTACTAAGATGGAAGAGTTAGCTCTACCATCGATCTTTTAGTTTAGAGCCCAGAGGCTTAAGTTTCTTCTCTTTTAGAGAGGCAACCCCATCACAAACACAGTATCCAACTAGGTAAAAATTCTTAGTTTTTTTATTAATTAATTTATTTTTAGTTTTCAACATTCACTTCCACAAGATTTTGAGTTCCAAATTTTCTCCCCATCTTGTCCCTCCCTCCACCCCAAGATGGCATGCATTCTGAACATAGGGTAAAAATTCTTAAGGCAGCTAGGTGGCACAGTGGATGGAGTAATGAATATGGAGTCAGGAAGACCTGAGTTCAAATCTGGATTCAGACACTGACTGGCTGTGTGACCTTGGGCAAGTCACTTGACCTTGTTTGCTGCCATTTCCTCATTTGTAAAATGAGCTGGAAGAGGGAATGACAAAGCACTCCAGTATCTTTGCCAAGAAAACCCCAAATGGGGTCAAGATATGTTGAACGTGACTGAAATAATGCAACAACAACAAGCTCTTGTTTTTTTCCTTCTATGGGGAATCTGTCTGTCCTCAAAATCTTGGCTGTGATGGGCTTTTCCATTTCAGAAGGAGAACTTTTGCCTCCAGGAGCTAACCTCTTTTGGAACATCCAATGGGTGAGGTGGCGCTCATAGGCATTAACTCTCTTTCAACTTTACTCCTGTTCATTGTGGTCAAGGTACCTTTCCCAAACCTCTGTCTGACTTAGGGTTAGAATTCCTTCATAACTACTGCTTCATTTCTTATTACCAAACTGTATTCCTTTGGAATACCGATAAACGGGGTAGGAAGCATGATGTCAGTAAGGATGTGGGCTTTGGCTTAACAAAACTCTGTCTGCATGGAACTTAAGAACTCAGAGGCCATTTAGTCCACTCCCCTGCCTCCAAGCAGTCTAGCACCAAAAGAGCTAAGTCAAGCCCTGCCTTTTAGCTCTTTGTGGGAAAAGAGGAGCTATAAGGATCTATCACAGCTAATTGCACTGTCACTCAGCACCGAAGGAAGTCTTCCCTCATTTTTCTCTTCAATATTTTCTGCTACAATTTCAGTCTCCTTATTTAGCCCCCACCTACTCTATAACAACCTTCATCTCAGTCACCAACCTGAAGCAGAAAGTCCCCAGACTTTCTCTGATATCTTTGTAAGCTTGGAAGTCTGACTCACGCTGTGCTGCCTTCACCGCTGTCCTTCCTCCCGGCTCCCACCCAGCAGGACTCGGAGGTAAATATAATAAGAGTTAGCATTGATATAGCACGTGAAGGTTTGCAAAGTGTTTACAAACGTCTCATTTGATCCTCACAACAACCCTAGGAGGTAGGTGCTCTGATTATCCTTGCTTTATAGATGAGTAAACTGAGGCAGACAGAGGTGAAGTGACTTTCCCAGGGTCACATCGCTAGTAAGCGTCTGAACTCAGGTCTTCCTGGATCCTAGTCCATTACAGTTTGCTGAGCCACTGAATTGCCTCTCTGATCATAGAATCACAGATCTAGAACCAGCAAATGACCTTCAAGGCTATTTTTTCCATTTATTCCAACACACTCATTTTGCGAGTTTAAGTGACTGGCCCAGGGTCACACAGCTAGTAAGGAGCAGAGGCAAAATGTAAATGTAGGTGCTCTGAATCTATGACTGATAGCACACAGGTAGGAAATGAATAAATGGTCTTATGCTGCCTTATGCTGCCTAAATGCTGCCTGTCTCTAAAGCAGTCAGACCCCCTGGGCTACAAAGGAATTGAACTGACAGCTTTGGCCTCATTCAGGACTCCAGGCCAACCCACCGAGTTCACTGGCCACAGTCGGCTCACCAAGCTTTAAGACCACTGAGTAAGACCCATGGTAAGGTCAGTCATTCAGTCAACCAGCATTTATTAAGTGCCTACTATGTGCCAGGACTAATTAAGCATGACGATACAAAGAGAAGGCAAAAGATGGTCTTGCTTTCAAAGAGCTCACAGCTTCATGGAGGAGACATCGTGCAGACAATTACGTACAAACAAAATAAAGACAGAATCAGTTGGAGGTAGTCTCAGAGGCAAGCTGCCAAAATGAAGGACCAGGAAAGGTTTCTTGAAGAAGATTTTGGCTGACACTTGAAGGAAGCCAGGGAACCCAGGAAGCAGAGATGAGGAGGAAGAGTATTCCAGGAATGGGGGCAGCGTATTGGACCAGGAATCAGAAAGACCTGAGTTCAAATCCAGCCTCAGGCACTTATTAGCTATGAGACCTTGGGTAAGTCATTTCACTTCTGTATGCCTTGGTTTACTTATCTGTCCAGCAAGGATAATAGGGAGACAGCCAGAGAAAATACTT